TTTTAGAAACAGCTTAGGAGCGATCATCTCATTCCCAGGGGTTATTATCGTTAATGTATTAATTTATATTAAAATAACCCTTTTTAAAAAGTTTTTCTTTAATAAATTTCTTAAACCTGTCAATAGATAGGCTTTGCACATTAGCTGGGATTTTGTTGTAGAAGCGTATACACCGTCCCATGAACGAGTTACTGACTGTATGGAGTCTTGTAACTGGCGTTACAAGCTTGTGTTTGTTCCGGTTAAAATATTTATTTCTTTAATTTTCTCTCTCAGAGATGCATTCAAATTAAGATTGTAAATTGCTCTTATGGCCCTTTTAAATAGATATTGTTTCAACATCGGCTGCATGCCCCCATAGCAAAATACCGTATGACATTATGTTATATTGGCATTTAACAGTAAATTATTAGCACTAAAACAATGAACTATTTCTGACATAGCATGATTTACCTAGTCAAGTGTTACAATACGTCGCTTAATTTTAAAGATTAATGAAGTATCATCGGCAAACAACACTATGATTTGTACTCGTATATATGTATATATATATTTCGGAGAATGAAGTAGATTTATTTCTTGTACGATATCGTGGCTGTCGATTATGTCGTTATTCGTAAGAATCAATGCGCACAACCGGCGCGGTCGATCGCCAGACGTTAGTGATCGTTAATTCACTTGGGTCGGACCGAACTGACAATATACATGGCGCTAGTACTAAGAGGCTACCATAGATGGAACCACTTGTATGAAATAACATTATTTCGGAACTTCTCTCACACGGCCATTCTGACAGAAAGCGCGGTCTCGCGCGATCTTTGGCCAATGATTCCAATGCAGTACCTTATACTTTCCCCAAAGAAATACACGCGAACGAGCTCAGAGCTTTCAAAGCATAACCTATACACTCAATGTGCGGCACCTCCAATACATAACATTCTCGTACGAAGCATGGATCTTTTGATAAATTTTATTGGCGCCATGAAGCGCGGCGCTTCCAATACATAACATTCACACACGAAGCGCGGAGCTTCCAATGCTTAACAACCATGTACGAAGCGTGGCTTCCAATGCATGGCATTCATAGACGAAGCGCTGAGTTTCCAATGCGTTACTTACTTACACGAAGCGCGGAGCTTCCAATGCATAACGTTTATACACGAAGCGTGGAGCTTCCAATGCTTAACGACCATGTACGAAGCGTGGAGCTTCCAATGCATAGCATTCATAGACGAAGCGCTGAGTTTCCAATGCGTTACTTACTTACACGAAGCGCGGAGCTTCCAATGCATAACGTTTATACACGAAACGCGGAGCTTCCAATGCTTAACGACCATGTACGAAGAGTGGAGCTTCCAATGCATAGCATTCATAGACGAAGCGCTGAGTTTCCAATGCGTTACTTACTTACACGAAGCGCGGAGCTTCAAATGCATAACGTTTATACACGAAGCGCGGAACTTCCAATGCATAGCATTCATACACGGAGCCCTGAGTGTCCAATACGTTACTTCCTTACACGAAGCGCTGAGCTTCCAATGCGTAACTTCCTTACACAAAGCGCGGAGCTTCCAATGCACAACATCCACACATGAAGCGCGGAGCTTTCAATGCGTAGCAACCGTGTGCCAATCGTGGAGCTTCAGACACATAACATTCACGCACGAAGCACGGAGCTTTCAATGCGCAGCAACCATGTGCCAATCGTGGAGCTTCAGACACATAACATTCACGCACGAAGCGCGGGGCTTCCAATGCATAACATCCACACATGAAGCGCGGAGCTTCCAATGCGTCGCGACCATGTGCTAATCGTGGAGCTTCAGACACATAACATTCAAGCACGAAGCGCGGGGATTCCAGTGCATAACATCCACACATGAAGCGCTGAGCTTCCAACGTGTAACAACCATGTACGAAGCGCGGAGCTTCCAATACGTAACATTTATACACGAAGCGTGGAACTTCTGTATTACCCGTTAAAATAATTAGTTACGTAGTCAAATGTTGTTTAGAGTCCAAATATCCTGTAAAGAACACAGTTTCACAGCCAATTTTTCCAAAACGAGCAAAGGGTCAAGCATAAATGCTTGATTTTATGTAAATTCGACGATTCATAAGAACACGCAAACGTCTATTTGAATTTGATGTTATCTGGATTTACTTAAAGGATTCCAATTTAATTAACTTACGAACGAAATTCAGTTATAAGTGTCGTTACTTCATAAGAATTGGTTTCAGCACGAATTCAAGGACGGTAAGCGACTAATTACAGAAACATCGTAATCAATTGAGAAGGTACACACAAACTAATGTAAAATACTAGTAAATAACATCAAAATATGTATCGTAATTAGAATTCATAAATTGATACTAAAGTCATCAGCTTGACTAAACAAGTTTGGTAAGCTCGAGGGGTATCTACGCAACCTTTCATGACAAACATAAGGAGCTCTCCAGTCACCAGGTTCCCTTTGTATCTCTTTGTCAAAGAATTAACACGGATTGGGACACCTCCCGTCTTTTTTATTATCATAGAATATGGTTCTGCTGACGAGCACAAATTAGTTGCGATTTTACCACAATGCTTTTTATTGCATATCTATGATGCACCGCTCGCCCGCTCGTCCATTCTGACCTGTACTTCGCGTTTGATTTCAAGTTAGTAGAGTATCTCGTAATCCTGAACAAGTACTTTAATTTTCATTGGATTTTTGTTGCTAGTCCTTAACATCTGCAGTGGCCTTTGCTCAAAATCTTGGTACCATACAATTTAAATTATTGGAATGAGCGGAATGCGGTCCAGAATTTGCGAACATGGTTCTCGGTTATTCAGAATCAGTTCGATCGTGTTACTAAATGGACCGTCAGTTAGACAGATCCAGAAACTTCTAACGATTTCGAGATCAGAACTCGTTTTCAAAATGCATCTAAGATTACTATTACGTGCTACTTAGCATTGTAGCTACTTGGCAATTTACCACTCATGTAACGTATTGATAGTTTCTGGGACCTTATCTGTTGGGTGTATAGTCTAGATTAGACCCTATTTTCTGACGGCTTCTTATTCATTTTGTACGGTAAGTTATCGGCATACGAACGTTATAAAACACCTTTCTTATTCACGGTCTAACTCAAACCAGGTCGGATAAAAAAACATCATCTCGTCCAATAATAACGTTACAGGACAGTACAGAGTAGTCTCCAATAACCAACCCCACATCATCTTTACGTCATTATTCTCACTGGGAAGTATAATACGATAAAATAATACAAAGAAACAGAGCCCATACTTGTTAGGCGCGTAAACAAAAAGTCTCGAGTGCTTTACATTTCATCAGCGACATGTTTTCGAATCAAAGAACAATCGGAGCCACTATCTACAAAAACTCGCAACTTAAAACCGGCATTGCTTACATCGATAAGTGGCGCTAGAGGTTGTGTGCTTGTAACGTTGACAGATTTTATGGCACTTGAATTTTTAAATCTTTCGTCCCTCTGTTTTGAGAAACAGACCTGCTCATCCCAATTTATGGCAGTAAGTACACTTAACACTCTTTTCAACCGGCAACCACTTAGGCAAGAGCTTAAACATTTCTCCGCCGTGGGACGATTTTACTTGAGACGCATATTTACAGTTACGTTTTATGTGACCCACCTGGCCATAATCATCACACAAATTGCGGTTGAATAAATTTAACTTCTGATGCTAAGGTTCTCTGGATACAGAATAGGAAGTGAGCACCCACTGAGGCTTTTAATCTTAGGGTAAACGCCAAAGTATTTTTCGGGTGCACTTAGTAGGTTTTTTTTTAATAGATCAGATCATACCTTATTTTGTCAGAAATACCTGACATGACGACTTCTTTTTTATTCGCCTCGCTCCACTCGGTCTCCAGCCAGTCGATTACCGCCAGCTTTTCGCGGTAGTAAATTGACGTGACAGGCGCTCATCAGCCTCGTACCATGTCCTGCACGAATATATGGAGATCCACAGCACACGAAGTTCCTCGCTTTGTTCCATGTCCTCCTCGCTTGTCAGACCATGAGTTCGGTGTATGATGATGGTTGAATTCTTCGTATCATTGCACCGCCGTAAAGTCACAAACATCTGAGTCACAAGAAGGCATGTAGACGTCAGGGGCTTCATCTTCTTTGTTAGCGGTTTATAGTCGTTTTGGCTTCATTTTCTTTTTAAGAGAGCCAGTTCGGGATGCTGCTGTCGATTGCATGTTATCGTCCCGGTGAGGTGTTCTTCCTTCGCCATTGTTCATGTGGACGAAGTAGCATTATTAAAGATCAATCGGTCTTCGGATCTAGTCGGTCACAGGGGAGGAGTGTTGTTCCGATCCCACTTCTGATTTCGGAGAATGAAGTAGATTTATTTCTTGTACGATATCGTGGCTGTCGATTATGTCGTTATTCGTAAGAATCAATGCGCACAACCGGCGCGGTCGATCGCCAGACGTTAGTGATCGTTAATTCACTTGGGTCGGACCGAACTGACAATATACATGGCGCTAGTACTAAGAGGCTACCATAGATGGAACCACTTGTATGAAATAACATTATTTCGGAACTTCTCTCACACGGCCATTCTGACAGAAAGCGCGGTCTCGCGCGATCTTTGGCCAATGATTCCAATGCAGTACCTTATACTTTCCCCAAAGAAATACACGCGAACGAGCTCAGAGCTTTCAAAGCATAACCTATACACTCAATGTGCGGCACCTCCAATACATAACATTCTCGTACGAAGCATGGATCTTTTGATAAATTTTATTGGCGCCATGAAGCGCGGCGCTTCCAATACATAACATTCACACACGAAGCGCGGAGCTTCCAATGCTTAACAACCATGTACGAAGCGTGGCTTCCAATGCATGGCATTCATAGACGAAGCGCTGAGTTTCCAATGCGTTACTTACTTACACGAAGCGCGGAGCTTCCAATGCATAACGTTTATACACGAAGCGTGGAGCTTCCAATGCTTAACGACCATGTACGAAGCGTGGAGCTTCCAATGCATAGCATTCATAGACGAAGCGCTGAGTTTCCAATGCGTTACTTACTTACACGAAGCGCGGAGCTTCCAATGCATAACGTTTATACACGAAACGCGGAGCTTCCAATGCTTAACGACCATGTACGAAGAGTGGAGCTTCCAATGCATAGCATTCATAGACGAAGCGCTGAGTTTCCAATGCGTTACTTACTTACACGAAGCGCGGAGCTTCAAATGCATAACGTTTATACACGAAGCGCGGAACTTCCAATGCATAGCATTCATACACGGAGCCCTGAGTGTCCAATACGTTACTTCCTTACACGAAGCGCTGAGCTTCCAATGCGTAACTTCCTTACACAAAGCGCGGAGCTTCCAATGCACAACATCCACACATGAAGCGCGGAGCTTTCAATGCGTAGCAACCGTGTGCCAATCGTGGAGCTTCAGACACATAACATTCACGCACGAAGCACGGAGCTTTCAATGCGCAGCAACCATGTGCCAATCGTGGAGCTTCAGACACATAACATTCACGCACGAAGCGCGGGGCTTCCAATGCATAACATCCACACATGAAGCGCGGAGCTTCCAATGCGTCGCGACCATGTGCTAATCGTGGAGCTTCAGACACATAACATTCAAGCACGAAGCGCGGGGATTCCAGTGCATAACATCCACACATGAAGCGCTGAGCTTCCAACGTGTAACAACCATGTACGAAGCGCGGAGCTTCCAATACGTAACATTTATACACGAAGGCCATGATTCCAACAGTACCGTTATACCTTCCACACATTGAAGCAAACGCGAACGAGCTCAGAGCTTTTCCAAATCATAACGCGATCCACTCATGAAAGCTGTGGAGCACAGACCATCATTAACATTCAAGCGTACGCAAGCGCCGGGATTCAAGTGCATTTTGTAACATTTTAGTTGCTCCATGAAGCCGGGCGCTTCCAATATAGCATTCATAACACAGTGTCAACACACAAGCGCGGAGCTTCCAATGCTTATCGACAACGCATGTACGGAAGCGTGGCTTCCAATGCATGGCATTCATAGACGACGAGCTGAGTTTCCAATTCTTTACTTACGAACGAAGCGCGGAGTGGTGGAACTTCCAGCATAACCGTTTAAATTACACGAAGCGTGGAGCTTCCAATGCTTAACGCCGTCAAATAGCGTTGTTTTTTAGAGCTTCCAAGCAATCCTGTAAAGATTTCATAGACGAAGCGCTTGAGTTTTCCAATGCGTGAAGCGCGGCGCTTCCAATACATAACATTCACACACGAAGCGCGGAGCTTCAATGCTTAACAACCATGTACGAAGCGTGGCTTCCAATGCATGGCATTCATAGACGAAGCGCTGAGTTTCCAATGCGTTACTTTACTTACACGAAGCGCGGAGCTTCCAATGCATAACGTTTATACACGAAGCGTGGAGCTTCCAATGCTTAACGACCATGTACGAAGCGTGGAGCTTCCAATGCATAGCATTCATAGACGAAGCGCTGAGTTTCCAATGCGTTACTTACTTACACGAAGCGCGGAGCTTCCAATGCATAACGTTTATACACGAAACGCGGAGCTTCCATGCTTAACGACCATGTACGAAGAGTGGAGCTTCCAATGCATAGCATTCATAGACGAAGCGCTGAGTTTCCAATGCGTTACTTACTTACACGAAGCGCGGAGCTTCAAATGCATAACGTTTATACACGAAGCGCGGAACTTCCAATGCATAGCATTCATACACGGAGCCCTGAGTGTCCAATACGTTACTTCCTTACACGAAGCGCTGAGCTTCCAATGCGTAACTTCCTTACACAAAGCGCGGAGCTTCCAATGCACAACATCCACACATGAAGCGCGGAGCTTTCAATGCGTAGCAACCGTGTGCCAATCGTGGAGCTTCAGACACATAACATTCACGCACGAAGCACGGAGCTTTCAATGCGCAGCAACCATGTGCCAATCGTGGAGCTTCAGACACATAACATTCACGCACGAAGCGCGCGGGCCTCCAATGCATAACATCCACACATGAAGCGCGGAGCTTCCAATGCGTCGCGACCATGTGCTAATCGTGGAGCTTCAGACACATAACATTCAAGCACGAAGCGCGGGGATTCCAGTGCATAACATCCACACATGAAGCGCTGAGCTTCCAACGTGTAACAACCATGTACGAAGCGCGGAGCTTCCAATACGTAACATTTATACACGAAGCGTGGAACTTCTGTATTACCCGTTAAAATAATTAGTTACGTAGTCAAATGTTGTTTAGAGTCCAAATATCCTGTAAAGAACACAGTTTCACAGCCTATTTTTTTCAAAACGAGCAAAGGGTCAAGCATAAATGCTTGATTTTATGTAAATTCGACGATTCATAAGAACACGCAAACGTCTATTTGAATTTGATGTTATCTGGATTTACTTAAAGGATTCCAATTTAATTAACTTACGAACGAAATTCAGTTATAAGTGTCGTTACTTCATAAGAATTGGTTTCAGCACGAATTCAAGGACGGTAAGCGACTAATTACAGAAACATCGTAATCAATTGAGAAGGTACACACAAACTAATGTAAAATACTAGTAAATAACATCAAAATATGTATCGTAATTAGAATTCATAAATTGATACTAAAGTCATCAGCTTGACTAAACAAGTTTGGTAAGCTCGAGGGGTATCTACGCAACCTTTCATGACAAACATAAGGAGCTCTCCAGTCACCAGGTTCCCTTTGTATCTCTTTGTCAAAGAATTAACACGGATTGGGACACCTCCCGTCTTTTTTATTATCATAGAATATGGTTCTGCTGACGAGCACAAATTAGTTGCGATTTTACCACAATGCTTTTTATTGCATATCTATGATGCACCGCTCGCCCGCTCGTCCATTCTGACCTGTACTTCGCGTTTGATTTCAAGTTAGTAGAGTATCTCGTAATCCTGAACAAGTACTTTAATTTTCATTGGATTTTTGTTGCTAGTCCTTAACATCTGCAGTGGCCTTTGCTCAAAATCTTGGTACCATACAATTTAAATTATTGGAATGAGCGGAATGCGGTCCAGAATTTGCGAACATGGTTCTCGGTTATTCAGAATCAGTTCGATCGTGTTACTAAATGGACCGTCAGTTAGACAGATCCAGAAACTTCTAACGATTTCGAGATCAGAACTCGTTTTCAAAATGCATCTAAGATTACTATTACGTGCTACTTAGCATTGTAGCTACTTGGCAATTTACCACTCATGTAACGTATTGATAGTTTCTGGGACCTTATCTGTTGGGTGTATAGTCTAGATTAGACCCTATTTTCTGACGGCTTCTTATTCATTTTGTACGGTAAGTTATCGGCATACGAACGTTATAAAACACCTTTCTTATTCACGGTCTAACTCAAACCAGGTCGGATAAAAAAACATCTCGTCCAATAATAACGTTACAGGACAGTACAGAGTAGTCTCCAATAACCAACCCCACATCATCTTTACGTCATTATTCTCACTGGGAAGTATAATACGATAAAATAATACAAAGAAACAGAGCCCATACTTGTTAGGCGCGTAAACAAAAAGTCTCGAGTGCTTTACATTTCATCAGCGACATGTTTTCGAATCAAAGAACAATCGGAGCCACTATCTACAAAAACTCGCAACTTAAAACCGGCATTGCTTACATCGATAAGTGGCGCTAGAGGTTGTGTGCTTGTAACGTTGACAGATTTTATGGCACTTGAATTTTTAAATCTTTCGTCCCTCTGTTTTGAGAAACAGACCTGCTCATCCCAATTTATGGCAGTAAGTACACTTAACACTCTCTTTCAACCGGCAACCACTTAGGCAAGAGCTTAAACATTTCTCCGCCGTGGGACGATTTTACTTGAGACGCATATTTACAGTTACGTTTTATGTGACCCACCTGGCCATAATCATCACACAAATTGCGGTTGAATAAATTTAACTTCTGATGCTAAGGTTCTCTGGATACAGAATAGGAAGTGAGCACCCACTGAGGCTTTTAATCTTAGGGTAAACGCCAAAGTATTTTTCGGGTGCACTTAGTAGGTTTTTTTTTAATAGATCAGATCATACCTTATTTTGTCAGAAATACCTGACATGACGACTTCTTTTTTATTCGCCTCGCTCCACTCGGTCTCCAGCCAGTCGATTACCGCCAGCTTTTCGCGGTAGGAAATTGACGTGACAGGCGCTCATCAGCCTCGTACCATGTCCTGCACGAATATATGGAGATCCACAGCACACGAAGTTCCTCGCTTTGTTCCATGTCCTCCTCGCTTGTCAGACCATGAGTTCGGTGTATGATGATGGTTGAATTCTTCGTATCATTGCACCGCCGTAAAGTCACAAACATCTGAGTCACAAGAAGGCATGTAGACGTCAGGGGCTTCATCTTCTTTGTTAGCGGTTTATAGTCGTTTTGGCTTCATTTTCTTTTTAAGAGAGCCAGTTCGGGATGCTGCTGTCGATTGCATGTTATCGTCCCGGTGAGGTGTTCTTCCTTCGCCATTGTTCATGTGGACGAAGTAGCATTATTAAAGATCAATCGGTCTTCGGATCTAGTCGGTCACGTTAGTGATCGTTAATTCACTTGGGTCGGACCGAACTGACAATATACATGGCGCTAGTACTAAGAGGCTACCATAGATGGAACCACTTGTATGAAATAACATTATTTCGGAACTTCTCTCACATATATATATATGTTTAGGTTTGGTATATATAATATGAATATTTAAGTATATTTATTTTGTTTGTATGAATATAAGTATACAAATCTACTTATGTATGTTTACGCTGGTAGTTTTTAGATTTATTACCTAATTATTACATGTTATTTAGTGAATTATGTATCGTTTATAACTACTTTACTGCCCTTGACATTTTTTTTCTGTTCTACCTTGGGTTAGCTGGTAGAGAATGCAATATAGCATGAAGCTCGCCTTTGTACAATTTTCTGTGCAATAAAGATTAAATAAATAAATGTATAAACGCCAACTAAAAAACGTGCGTGGAACACCATGGATAGCATTAAGAATAATTTTGAAGGGAGAAGGTTTGGCACGGCTTCTCAGCTCATAATTATTCATTACTTCCACCTATGGACTACCACACCTCATATGGGATCCAAAAAGCAAAGTACCCTTTGTATTAGCGCATACTCCAGCATGCGACCTCACCGTGGATTGTTGGACTTCACATATCTTCGAAATACTTTTTTTATTATTATTTAATAATATAGTCCGGGCGCTCGTCTTTAATTCAATATACTCGAGCAACCTGAGTTCGATCCCCGGTGCCGGCACCAATGAAGTTTTTAACTTTAAGTGCTGATTTATCACGTGCTCCGCGGTGAAGAAAAACATCGTCAGGAAACCTGCATATTTTAGAAATAATAACAAAAAAAAAATTCGAAGATATGTGAAGTCCGCCAATCAGCAGTGGGGCCGCGTGGTGGACTGTGCCCTGATACCAGCTGTATAGAGGAGGCCTTTGCCCAGCAGTGGGACATGTATAGGCTGTTACTTTTACTTTTTATTATTTAAAAAATATGCAGGTTACCTCACGAAGTTTTCCTTCACCGGTGAGTATGTGACGAATCAGCACTCATTTAAATTAACAATTTCGTTAGTTCCACTGCACAAGGATTTGAACTCTGGTTGCTCGAGTATATTGCATTAAAAGTTAGCGCCCGGATACTGAGCTATCACTGCTTGCTATAAATTTATCCAAAGATAAATTGCCAGCTCAAAAGCTATTTCCATTTCTAATTTGGTTTATTTCAGTAAATAGAGATAAGGTAAAAGAATACACACACCTCACAGAATCAGAAGCGTAAAAGAATTTACCGTGGGAGTTTTTTTTTCCACAGCTGGGCAACTCCTCCACGGCGTTCATTATAAACAATTGCGCAGATCGACAAAAATGAATGTGTAGAATTTAAAAAAACATTAATAAATAGAAATACATTATTATACTAATTTTTATTCCATATTTCCACTCAGTATTCGCAACGTTTATAATTATCTAATGTTTAAAAATATCGTAATGTCAGTTTACTCCTGTGTTCTCTCGAAGATACTCACATCCTAATGGAATTGCTCTTTTGATCGCCTACAATCATGACTCAATTTCAAATTCCATTATGAAGGCATTGTGGTCCTGTTTTAATATCCAGGTCCTCCGGGATCGTAACTATTGCTCGTGGACAGGAAGACTAATGATTTATGTACTCTATTTCCTTTTTTCGTTTACTCCAGCTATATGGAAGCATTGATTTAAGCAATCGGCTTGCTAAGTGATCATTTTGTTTAGGAACATAACGTTTCTATATGTTTCAGTCTAGTCTAATAGATAATTCTTTTCAGGATTTCGTAAGGAAAAGCATAATATTTAAATGTATAATTTTGGTGCTTCAAATTTCCAAATAAGGAACAAAACCTCTTTAGATCTTCGTTCAAGAGCAGTAAATGATAAATATTTAATAAAAAGTGGACGTACGAACAGACGGGTTCACCGGCTGTTGCCTCCCTAGGAGGCGTATGACCATAAGATCAGCTCTAAACCTTACAGATTGTTCAGACATCCGATAGAATATTCTGTAAGGTTTAAACTTGTTAATTAATACGGTCGTCGTTCAAGTTTTAACAAGCCTCGACCTGAAACGCTCTAACGCACAAAGGAGAAGTTTTAGATGAAACGCTTCTCACTTAATCCAGAAGTCGCTTCTCATGATTTGCGCAAGCCTATCGTTTTTCATGAATTGCTAATAGAAAGCAATCATTTTGCGTTTCCCTCTAGTGAACAATGATCAGAGAATGTGTTTTGCTGAAAGATCAGAATAGGGTACAGATAACGTTCATGTAATTAAACATCTACCGACGACCCGAATGGCGTAGTCGGCCTTCTGCGCCAGAGGGTGTAGGTTCGATCCCCACTACTAATTGGAAAAATATTGTGTGATGAGCATAGTGTTTTTCTAGTGTCTGGGTGCTTATATATGTTTAAGTATGTCTATCAGTTTTCTAGAACCCATAGTACAAGCGTTGCTTAGTTTGGGACTAGAGAATGTTGTGTAAAAATGTGTCCAAAAAAATAAAATGAAAAATCTGGTTCTGTAATTTGTGGAAAAATCAACGAACGTGTTACCGCTGCGAAGATTTGACCCTGCTTACTCCGACATACCCGCCCTACGCTCTAGCGACCGAGTACAAGCAGCTAGGAAAGGTATACTATTTTATGTTACGTCACATATACAATACAAGAACATACAAAATACAAAAAAATTATAATAAAGGTGACTTTATAATAATTTCTTGTGTTTACGCTATCAGACATTATTAAATTAATCTATGCTTACGGATTAATTGCGTTTATTTTAGTTAAAGATAAAATTAGCATGTTCTACGTATATCGATACAAAAATTAGTTATCGTAGAAATTAACTAATCAGAAGAATGACTTAATGATCAGAATGATCAACTCGGGGGGGCTTAATCATCCGTTTTGCAACTGAAATGACATTTGAAAAGCCATTTGACAGCTGATTAGTTAATTTCCACTGTGGCCAGTATTTCAGAAACCGGTCAGACGTCCAATGACTGAGATTTAATGTTGTAAAACGTTGAAATTCATTTTTCAATTTAATACTTTCGTCTCGCTTTTTGTAATGTTCAATTCTGTTTGTCCACATTTCCCTATTTATAATACCAACAAGTAGTTTTACTATGCTATTGACGAATCAAAAAGTTTGCTGGCAGCGGTGGGATTCTAACCCACGCCTCCGAAGAGACTGGTGCCTTAAACCAGCGCCTTAGACCGCTCGGCCCCGCTACCTACTACGATGGTATCAAAATAACTTATATTATTACAGTAGACCAGGAGGTAATTTGTATATCCCCTAGTTGTAATCATAGCTATGCAAGTATAATATAATATGTGAGACGCTTTTTCGTTTGCCACCTTTTCTATATTAAAAATCATGTAATCGACACTTTAAATAAAAACACATGTATTAAATTTGTATCGAATACAATCTAAAATACTATTGTATTTAAAAATATCAATCCTCGCTTAGGATGCTGTGTATTTGTTTACATTTATTACATGTAAAAATGAAAGATAAGTTAAAATAGTTATAATAATATAACTGAAAGTAAATATAAATAAGTGTGAAAAAATTAAGTTAGTATTTAATATTGTAGATATTTCTCTGTATAAAATTGAAAATAATTCTTAAAAGTTTATGTATATAATATCTGTAAAGAAGCTGTAAAAAGAAATAAAATGAGTGTCCGGGCGCTCGTTTTTAATTCAATAACGAACAACTTAAGTTCTAATCCCGATGCTGACACTAATTAAAATTACTAATGAAATTGTTAATTCATAAAAAAATGTTATTAACGCCAAAAGCTTAAGAAATTTTATAGCACAACGGTATTGGCAATTGTTTTTTGTCTTTCCGACTCATCATCATGAATCCAAGTCAAAATTAAACGCGAAATATTAATATTTATTAACCATCACTTAATATTTATTAAGCCCAACAAGCTTTTTCGCAGAGGTAATATTAATGCTTTATAAATTAATGCCTTAAATTTATAAGGCATTAATAATTTATTCGTAAACTACACGATTCTGATAAAAGTCTCTCTCATTTTACGAACATATCAATCGTAGAATCATAATATAAATTTCGACAATTCAAAATTAAATATCCGTACAAATAAAATTACATGAATGGATTGACATTCACGGCGCAAGATGCAGAAATCTGAAACGGCTCTGGAATTTCAGATACATACGTGAGACGTGCTCAGTCATTTTCAATAAGCTTGCGACTGAACTACGGCTTCGTCTATAAATGTTTCTTCACACATTTTTCTACGATTTTTTGCACAGAACGATTTATTCACTTAATCATGTGTTTATCACATATTAAACATTATGATTGAATTATTTATTAGTATTAAACTACGTTTATAACTTTTATGAAGGTGTTCTGTTCTTTCTAAAAGGAACGAAAAGCGTAATATTTAATAGAGGAACGATACAAAATATCAAAGACCTTAAGATGAACATGGACAAGACGAAGATCATGTCTAATGTCTGTGTGACGCCTATGCCGGTTGTAATAACAACCGGCATAACCGAAGTGACACAGTGCCCAAGAGGTCCAACTTCGACGCAGAGGTCAAACAGTGAATACAAATCCTATGGGCAGCGCCCGGGGAACTTCGGCATAATATTATCTTCTATTCCAAAATCCCTTAATGCTTGAAGAGTGAAGTCTTCATTTAATGCTCAATTAATGTACGTTGTCATTATGACCTATGCAATTGGGTCCTTCACTACGTTGTTAACGACGTATGATATACTTGATATAAAATATAA